AAAAAAAAAATTAGCCACCAGGTTTCCAGGTTGGATGGCAACCAATATCATTCAACTCACATATTCTTAGACCAGGCTTCTGTATTGGACGGAACTTACACATCATTACGGGGGCAGTATTCAGTGCAGAGGAAAGATATCCTACTATTGCCAGTGGAGGATAAGAGAAAGGACCTGTGACATCACTGTACCACCAGCATCTCATATAGGATGAGCTGCACCAGTCCCAATTTAAGCAGTGCAACTGTAGGTACCCATGAATGTGGCCTGGATACATGGAGAATAAATAAATGTTGATGCCCTACAACTTGTTAGACTATGTGTCCAGCAATATATAGATATTGTAATCAAAGGGTAGTCATTCCCCTCTTTCTTTGTTTCTGTTTATAGATTGTACCTACATATGGACCTCATTGTGCCAATGCTTGGTCATTACATATGTAAAACTAGTTAGGTATAGGATGTTAGGTAATTTTAGTTTGGCTCTTCTGCCACCAGTGGAGCAGTTGTTGATTACTTTAGTCTGCTCAGTGATTCACAGGCTGCTGGTCTGTTTATTTCCGCCCTCATTCCAGAGTGTTCTGGAATCACAGAGGGAGGGTGGTCTGAATATGTATGGGAATCCAGCCAATCCCTGGGGAGGTGTTCCCAATAGGTGGCTGGAGAGCCCATAAATAGTCAGAGGCCTGGGGCAGAGGTGTGTGTGGGTCCCGCGAGAGAAATCCGCAGTCAAAGGGGGCCCTGCCCCTGGGGGCAGTCTGCTGGACCGCTACTTGAAAGTCATCGAGGTCCCAGCAAAAGCATAGCTGGGGAACCTACTTCAAAACGTAGTCTGGGATTTTGGTCTGGAGATCTCACTGAAGAGTACTCGATGGTAGTTGGAGGAGGGTGGTGTCCAGCTGTCCTGTGGTATTGTGGGTTTTGTATCTTCCTCACTGAAGAGTGCCCAGTAAATATTAGAAGGAGGCAATCAATGCTCCTGTAGCAGTGTGAGCCCTGACCTTAATCGAGAGCCCTAGTGACCGTGCAATTCTCTGTACTTCAAAAAAAAAGACACAAAAAAAAAAAAAAAGACCCCAGCTATTACTCAGCCAGTGGTGATCGTTGCAGGAACTTAGTCTTATCTACCCCTTCTGCTTTGTGACACAGTGACAGTTCAGAGCGAAGAGAAGTGTCCTCTGGGTTTTCAATATTCTTGAGGTGCCCCATGTTCCCCTTACCACATCCAAGTTTAAACTGTATTAAAAAGCATAAAAGACACTCCCTAGTCTGTTTCTTATGCCATAGAGTGAGAGGAAATGCCTTTTGCCTGTCTGCCTCTGCCCTAAATTTGGGGAAGGGACCAGTCTAATCACAGTGGCTCATTCGGGGGGGGGGGGGGGGGTACACATAGTTAAAAAGAGACAAATCTTTCTAGTTTAGAAAAAAAAAAAAATACATAAACAGAAAACATCCATATACAGAATCCTATGCCCACAACCGCTCCAGAGGAAGGCAAAAAAATATTGTAAAATGGAAATCCCTCCATTCATCAACACAATCCTAACACCTGCTACTTCCTTGCGCACATTTTCTGTTTTCCAGTGACTAGTACAGATAGTCCTTCTGTAGTTCAGCGCAATCAATAAAGTGTGATTTCTCTCCCTCCATCCTATTAATATCTGAGAAAGAAAATATTACAGTGAATGACAGGCCAAATAATATGTTTCAACATACGATTGGCGAAATCCAGTTCTGCCCGAGTGACTTTTCAGTAACATCGTGTTTGTGAGACAAAGGAAGCTCTTTAATTATATTCTTTGATGTCTCAGCCAACTTTCCCTACAACCTCATGTCTTCCATATGAAGCTCTTTCTCTTTAACCAGTTCATATTCTGGGCTCCTCTCATTGTCCTGGTTGTGTGATTCCAATGGTAAAGACGCTAACTTCTCCAAGTCTGACAGCTCTTACCCTACAGTGACACTAAACAATATCCCTATTCTACAAAAACAATTCCTACACGTCTACTACTCAATGACCCTGTAATCGATTTTTTATGAAATTGTTTCTTATTGTGTATTCTTCCTCCTTGTAACATCATCTGTGAGACTTTTCATTCTCTTCTGTTTGTTTGGAACCAGCAGTGCATGTTAGTTGTAGTCCATAGTCCGGCTCTAATGCATCCATAAGACACATAGAGCTGCAGCTTGGCCCAGCCCCCACTCTCTCCTCATAGGCTCACTGGCTGTGATTGACAACAGTGGGAGCCAATGGCTTCCGCTGCTGTCTCAACCAATCTGTTGGAGGCACGAGAAACATTTCCTCAGTCTCCTCTCTCCCAGTGATCAGACTGCAACATTGTAACTTTGCAGAAAATCACAAGGGGCAGGGACTGATGTATGCCAAATGTTTTTTGAACACAGCCAAGAAATGCACAAGCACCAGGATTTACTATAAATGACTGTCACCGCTGAGCCAGCATATTCCTGGAAGTAGGCGCTGACCCCAAATAGAACCTAAACAAATGCTGTCTTTTGGAGAGAAAAGCAGATGAATCTGCTTAATGATCTCTGAGACATACCTGTCAGCAGGGGCGGACTGACCATTTGGAAACTTGGGCACTGCCTGAGGGCCCAGGGTCAGTAGGGGTCCCCATGAGATGCCCCTGGTACCTTTTTCATAGGCTTTTTTGAGTTTGGGCAAAGACACAGGGGCCCCATGATCCCATATTGCCCAGGGGCCCCATGAGTTGTCAGTCCGCCCCTGCCTGTCAGTGTTAGACTTACACATTACTTAGCATAGATGCATCAAGCATGAAAAATATATATGATGTTAGTTCCACTTTAACCACTTGCTGACCGTGCTGTAGCCGAATGATGGCAACAGTGTGGTCATTCAGTTCTGTAAGGGCGTCATATGACGTCCTCCCAGAACCATGCCCTGATTATCAGTGCAGCCCCAACAGTCCCCATCAATGCCAGTCAGTGCCTCGCAATGCTGCCAATCAGTGCCCAGCAGTGCTGCCAGTAAGGGTCCATCGTCCTCCCAGAACCATGCCCTGATTATCAGTGCAGTCCCCATCAGCCCAGTGCCTTGCACAGTCCCCATCAATGCTGCCAGTAAGTCATCGTGCCTTGCAATGCTGCCAATCAGTGCCCAATGCAGTGCTGCCAGTAAGGGTCCATCAGTGATGCCAATCATTGCCCATCAGTGCTGCCAATCAGTGCCTATCAGTGCCACCTATCAGTTCTGCCTATCAGTGCCCTTCAGTGCTACCTATTTGTGTGCTTCAGTGCTGCCTATTAGTGCCCATTAGTGCTACCTATCAGGCCCAACAGTGCCACATATCAGTGCAGCCTCATCAGTGCCTCCTCATCAATGCCCACCAGTGCTGCCTCATCAGTGTTGCCTTATCAGTGCAGCCTCATCAATGCATATCAGTGAAGGAGAAAAAAAAATTATAATAGAAACTAAGAAAAACATTTTTCCAAAATGTTTGGTCTTTTTTCGTTTGTTTAGCAAAAAATAAAACACCCAGTGGTGATTAAATAGAACTAAAAAAAAAGCTTTATTTGTGTGGAAAACAAAAATTCATATGGGTACAGTGTTGCATGACCGCGCAATTGTCATTCAAAGTGCGACAGCGGTGAAAGGTGAAAATTGACCTGGGCAGGAAGGGGGTGGAAGTGCCCGGTAGGCAAGTGATTGACTATACTGGGGCAATAGTGCTAAAGGATGCAATCTAAGAGCAGTATAGGTTAGTGCATGTTGCACATGGCTCTTTGCTTCATTAACCAGGTTTTCATTATGCACTGGACAATGATATCTGCTGGTCTGCAGGGACTTGATGGAGTGCTCTGAAAAGTGGTAGGAAGGTCACTTTCATAGGCTTCCTATTTTTGGTAACCTGACTCAAGTTTAAAGGAGCGATTGTGATGGCTAAAGAAAACATCCAGGTCGCAGGGTGCCAGGGCACTGAACAGAACTTCATATTAGGTTGCTCTTTGCAGGCTTTTAGAATGAGCTCTTGTCAATCCATGCAAAGCTGGGATGGTGGGATTAGTATGAGGATGTCTTTACGAAAGGCCACAGGTCACCGCACATGGCTTATGAAAGTAATCTTTGTAGGAAGCAGGAGACAGCTGTTGGGCTGAAGCTGTTCCTTGTCTTTATCATTCAGTTTCCTTCGGTGTTTAGAGAAGCCCTGGATGCTGTTCCTGGTGGAGAAAACCTTCTAGGGTACTTCTTTCCAAAGGCCTACATGCTGACAGTAGGATTAACCTCTTCACTGTAAACCAGTGTGTTTTTCTGTGCTGGCCGGAGGACTGACATAGCAGTTATTAATCCTCTTCTGAAGAACGGAAATGAAAAGCACGCTTCTGCCAATGGTAAACATCCAGCATTTAAAAGCATACAGTAGTTTCTTTGAAGCTGAACTCAAAAAAAAAAAAAAAAGGTTCATTTAAATACATTCATTAAAGCCACAGAGGATATAAATCTATTCTGTGTGTACCAAATTCTTTGGCACACCAAGATATTACCTTGTAAAGGTAGCAGTCGCATCATCACTGTGCTGTACATGAGAGCAGAGCCAACAGGCTCCACCCACTATAGACTGCCTGTAGAAAACTACATTAGGGGGCGGGGACAAGACCAGTTAGTCTGCACAGATAGAACAGAAGTGACCAGTCTTTATCACAGGAAGTTCTTGCATAGAGGTGAAGTTTCACACTGAATTTCTGCACAGATCTGTAAGAAATACACAAAGCACACCAATATTCAAGGAAAAACAGACATGACTTTTGTATTTAGACACATTTGTTTATCCTGGAGTTCAGCTTTAACCGCTTTAGCTCCGCCCATAGCAGAAATACTTCTAAAGGGCGGCAGCTGTGCGTAAAATCAAATATATATATATGGGATTTTCCATTTCCAGGTAGGGGGCGGGTGTGAAGCACGCGCGCCCTATCCGCGCCACCATTCGCGGCTGCAGCTGTCAGTCACCGGGTCCCAGCCAGTGATTACTCGACGGTGCCCGGTGTTTGCCGAGGATCCCCAACGTGGGGGGGGGGGGGGGGGGAGAGAACTGTTAGTAAACAAAACAGTTCTCCTCCCTGTCAGCTTAGGCACACTGCACAGCACAGCCATGCAAAGCAGTGTGCTTACAATGAAGCACACACACAGAACATAATGTAAAATGACACACACACAGTACACAGTTAACCCTTTGCTCACCCCAGATGTTAACCCCTTCCTACCCAGTGCCATTAGTACAGTGTCAGTGCTTTTTATTAGCACTGATCACTGTATTGGTGTCACTGGAGATATCAGTGACACCAAGTCAGTTCCCCCCAGTGTCAGAATGCCCTCCGCAGTCCCGCTATAAGTCGCTGATCGTTGCCATTACTAGTAAAAATAAAAATTTAAAAATCCCAGAATGAATATATATATATATATATATATATACACCGCCATTTGTAAACGCTATAACTTTCACATAAACCAATTAATTTACACGTATTGGGATTTTTTTTTAGCAAAGACATGGAGCAGAATACATTTTGGCCTAAATTTATGACAAATTTTTTTTAAGGAAAAAGTCAAAATTTTCTCAAAATTGACGGTCTTTTTTTTATAGCGCAAAAAATAAAAGCCGCACAGGTGATCAAATAACACCGAAAGAAAGCTCAATTCATTGGAAAAAAGGACGTACATTTCATTTGGGTGCAGAGTTGCATGACCGTGCAATTGTCAGTTAAAGTAACACAGTGCCGTAATGCAAAAATTGGCCTGGTCAGGAAGGGGGGTAAATCCCCTAGAGGGCAAGTGGTTAAGGGTGCATTGAGCACACGTAAACACATGTGTTGACAAATGTGCCAAAATATTTTTTTCTTTTTTTTTTTTGCACTTCACAAAGCTTTATTTGACTATTGTGTTCATATGTGTTGTGGTGCACTAACATGCGCTAACATGCATTGCTCTGAAAAAAAGTAGGACAATTTTTTGCAATGCAGAACAGTTCACATTAGTGCAACACACTGATGCCAACTTCTATTGAAATACTTTGCTTTTAGAATTTATTTGCACTGGTATGAGTTTAACAACATGTGCCAGAGCATCTGCTGTGAATGGGCCCTAAATGTCTTTTTCAAAGTAGATATGAAAATGTGGTCAGATGAACTCCAAGCAAGAAGTTAAAGCGGAACTTCACCTTAAAAGAGAAGTTCCACTTAAGAACAACCCCCTTTCCCCTCGTCTCCTTATTGTAAACTTTTTTTGGTGGGGGGAACGGGTACCTAGTTTGGACGGGGTACTTGCTCCCACTTATGCTGGGATCACCTAGGCGAACCAGGCAGAAGTTCATTTCCCCCCACCCTCCTTGCCCGCAACCTCCTGGGACATGTCACAGGTCCTAGGAGGCCTGGGACCATTCACAGTGGGGAAGCTCTGAAGCTGAATGGAGTCACAGCTGGGCTGACCACTGTCAACATGGCAATGCTGGGGACACAAATACCGGCGAATAGCCAGCTTGGGTCAGAACACTCATATTGCATTGAAATGTACAGAAAATTACAGCACTGCAGATAGAAATGGAAAGGTCATTTTTTATAAACATGCAATTACAATATGACTTGTGGAGCAATTGTATTTGATCTGCTGTATTATTTTTTTTATATTTGCTAATTTTTTTTAGGTTTGTCCCCACAAACGTGGAGTTACCCTTTACGTCCAGATTCATTTGTATTGAGAAATAACTTATAAGGATGGGTGTAGAGAATTATCTCCCAACGAAAATGTGCAAGGCTGCCATTCTTGGCTATGATGGCAAGTAATTCATCAAATGAGCAGACAGCTGAGAGCCCTTGCACATGCCGGGTGTGGTCTATAAGCCTCGATTGTCTTAGCAATTCAAGAGGAGGAAGGATCAGAACCTGAGCTAATAGACATGGCCGCTTCATTAACGAGTCAATGGCAGCAGTGATTGTGTGGGGCTGTGAGCAGGAGTCTTTAGAAACCAGTCAGAAGTCAGACCAGGCTGCAATAAATATAATTCCGATTAGTTGTCACGGGTTAGTGCACTTCACATGTTTTTATTGGTTTTCGCACTCTTGTATTGATTCGAAGAACAAAAACCACCCAGAGGCACTCAGCAGCCGAGAAGGATACTTTTTATATTCATTAGAACCCAGTCCTCTTTTTAGAATAAATCTGAACTCCAAGTGAAGGTAAAAGGTACAAACTGATGCAGCTCTGAAATCTTTATTGTGTTATTAGATGTATTTGTTTAAAGTGTTAGTTCACCTTTACAGAAAAAATTAAAAAAGTGAACTAACACTGTACCCTCCCCTGGTCCCTGCTTGACTTACCTCTGGGGATGCTGAGCTGTCAGTGCCCATGCAGCTGATTCAGTAGTCTAGGGGTTTGATGTCCCTGCTCTTCAGTGCAAAGAGCATACTGATAGAAGGAGAGAGCAGGGTACAAGGAGCATTTTTTGCCAAAAGCCCCTGAATTCAACTCAGTAAAAGTGTATGTGTCCATGCACACATTGGGGTTTTATTTACTAAAGCTGGAGAGTGCTAAATCAGGCTCACTTCTGCATAGAAACCAATCAGCTTCCAAGTTTTATTGCCAAAGCTTAATTGAACAAGCCGAAGTTAGAAGCTGATTGGTTCCTATGCAGAAGTGAGCCTGATTTAGCACTCTCCAGCTTTAGTAGATAAACCCCATAGGTGTTTATCAGAGTTTAGCAGCAGCAGAGTTTAGGGGCAATTAAACTCTGTCTCCTGAATGCAGAAGAATTGCGTTCAGGAGAGAAACGTTTTGGACAAAAATTGCCAAATGTAACAAAAACGTGTGTAAATGTGCGTAAGCGCTAGCCATGTTTAGCACTTGGGTGTTTACCATTTCAATGGCAGGTACTCTGACCAATGAAATGAATAAACGTCCAAGCGCTAAACACGGGTAAACGCAGTACTGTGCTTACATATGTTTTTGCCACATTTAGTGGTTTTCTGCTACCAGTAGAGTTAACGTCTACGACAGTTCCAGTGTACATGTAGCACTACTGTCAAGTCATGGGGTATGTGGAGGAGACCTGTAAGAGAAAGTAAGCCCTGGTTCACACTGATGCAATGCGGAATTCACAGCATTTTCTGTGCGAATTCCGCATCGCGTCAGAATTGCACCCCGTTCATGCGAACTGCTGCGGGTGTGTATGTTAAATTAACAACACCCCGAAAGCGGTCCGCAAAACACAATGCAATGTGCAGAATCGGATCGTATAGGTGTGAATACCCATGCGATCCGATTCTAGTGTGGTCCAAAAAAAGGGTCCTGCACGTTTTTGGTGCGGGTGCAGTGCGAATAGATCCATTCAAAATGTATGGCTCCAATTGTACCGCACACAAATCACATGTGATTTGCACAGGAATGCGGTGTGGGTTACTGTGCGAATCACATGTCATATACCGCACCACATATATGTGAACCCATGATACTGTAAAAAGGGAAAGAGAAGGATCAGATAATAGTGACTGTGCTGTGTTGCATGGCTGTGTAAATCTGGACTGGATAGACAGAAATACAAATCCTTTGACAGGTATCATATATGTATTTAACTTTTTAGATGGAGTTCACCTTTAAATGTCAGGATTCAGATGAAAGGACTCTCACATAGGCATACTTAAAGTGGAAATCCAGTCTAAACTATACTATACTAACCAGGGGCGGACTGACAACTCATGGGGCCCCCGGGCAATAGAGGATCATGGGGCCCCTGTGTCCTTGCCCAAACTCAAAAAAGCCTATGAAAAAGGTTCCAGGGGCATCTCATGGGGCCCCCTACTGACCCCCGGGCCCATGGGCACTGCCTGAGTTTCCAAATTGTCAGTCCGCCCCTGATACTAACCATCCTGTAAAGGAAAGGTGCTTATACTTACTGTACCTAATGTAAGGTCACATGATCTCCCCATCGGATGGCTTTGAGGGAGAGCAGTGACAATTGCTGCAGTGCCTGGGTAGTGTTGTCACCCATTCATCTGTTCGCTGTCCCTCTTCTCCCTTGAAGCCAGCTCTGGAAGCCGATCACGTGAGCGCCCTGAGGTTAGGTAAGTAAACTCATCTTTCTTTACAGGGTAGTTAGTTTAGGGCTTAGAATGGGGGTGTGAGTAGATTTAAGCTTAGACAAGTCCAGACTGGACTTCAACCTTAAACGCATGCTCACACCGGGATGCATATGTGTTCCTTGCACTCCCATGCAGCCAGTCCCATTCAAGTCAATTGGGATGCAGCAGCTCCACTGGCACAGCCAGTGCTCTTAATATGACAGCTGCTTGGGTGCAGGTCCCAAAACGCACACTGTATGCGCTCAAGGACTCGCACCCGTAGGAATATCAAATTGGAAGCAGCAGTTGGGTCTGTGCTGCTGCTGCATTCTAATTTACATGAATGGAACTGCCTATTTGGGGGCAGGAACACAGCCCACGCACAGGTATACGCAGGGGCGGACTGACAACTCATGGGGCCCCTGTGTCCTTGCCCACACTCAAACCACACCCAAAAAAGCCTATAAAAGGTATCAGGGGCATCTCATGGGGCCCCCTACTGACCCCGGGCCCTCGGCTAGTGCCTGAGTGCTCGAATGGTCAGTTCGCCCCTGGGTATACGTTGAGCCTGGGTTCACACTTCTGCAGTGCAGCATGTCACATGTGATTCTCATAGGAACCGCACCGCATTCCTGTGCAAATCACATGCGAATTCTGTGCGGTGCGATTTGAGCCATACATTTTGTATGGCTCAAATCGCACCGCATCTGCACGAAAAAGGTGCAGGACCCTTTTTTTTGGTCTGCACTAGAATCGGATTGCATGGATATTCACACCCATGTGATTCTCACCGCGTTTTGCGAACCAATTTCGGGGTGTTGTTAACATACACACCCGCATCAGTTTGCATGAACGGGAGGATAGAACTGAGGATAGAATTCTGCATGGCATCAGTGTGAACCCAGCCTGAAGGTGGAACTCCAGTCTAAAGTTATCGAAGCTTAAATCTACTATGCTTAAAGCGGAGTTTCACCCAAAAGGGGAAGTTCCACTTTAAAGATTTGTCCCCCACTCCCCATTAAGGATTGGCACCTTTGAGGAGCAGGGGGGAACGGGTACCCCAATTTGACAGGTAACCACTCCTACTTCCGCTGTGATCGCCTAGGTGATCGGAAACGGAAGTTGTCCTCCTACCCTCAATGACACGTGACAGGTCCCAGAAGACGACGGGGGCACTCTCACAGCCGGGTGCCCACACTGAAGATGCCGCCTCCTGGAATACAGGACGGCCAGTGAAACGGGCTGCGGCAGTGGCAACGCAGGATCAGGGACAGGTAAGTGGCTGTTTTT